GAAGCATTAGCTGGGTTTTCTCAGCAGAGACGAAGCAACAGGAAATCAACAGCACGATGACTGGCGACCGCCACCACCGAAGCTCCACCCGCTGAGCTGTGGCAGCACGAGCTGATCACCTGATCACCGTGCGCAGCCAGTCCCCTTGCTCCAGCCAGTTCTGGCGGAGGGAAGAAGCTGACGGCGACCTACACCGAAGGTGTGAAAGGGCAGGGCAAACTAGCAGCCTCCTGCAGGGGGACCTGGGGATGGGAGCCAAGACTAGAAAACTTTTATACTCTTTGAAGTCTTAAACAATCTCATCTTATACCTGGGGTATTATTATTATTATTATTATTAACAACATGATTTGTGCAAATCTTGAAACGGAAAGAGATGGGAGTCCAGCCGGCAATAAACACCCACGAGCGGGAGTGTAAGGCACACGCAACACACAGACTAGGAAGAAGTTCAGTCTCTCCGTTTTCCGGCTACATGGCTGGGATTCCCAGGTCTGTTTTCTCATCTGAAAAGACTACTATCACCCGCCCGGGAGGATTGGTTTAAAGATTAGAGAGGATATAGACAGGAGACACAACACAGGACCCACACGAGGCATGTACTTAGGAACCGGCAGAAGGCGCTGTTATGATTTCCAGACAGAAGACTAAAAGAAAGACACAGAAGCCTCCCAAACACCCAGTATAAGCAGACCATAGTATTTCAAGACAAAATATAAGAAACATTAAAAATGGACAGAAGATTGGTTCAAAGGCCAATAGAACTTTTCTTGGCTCTGAAAATCATGATGGGGCTTCCTTTTTCAAAATTTAAGTTCCCTCCAAGGAGAAGTTCTATTCGTAAAAAAAAAAAACAATAATAATAATTGAAAGTACCAAATACTATTTGATTCTCAACTCTTGAAGTGGTTGTCACGGGAGGATGAAGCATGGGAGAAAAAACACTCGCCAAAGCCAAAGAGCGCCGGCGCTGTATTTCAACTCTGTTTTGCATCCCAGTGATCAGCTCAACGCCCTTCAAAAGGTCATTTTTAAACATAAAAATCATTTTGTTTGTCCCCAGTTATATTCTTGCATTTTAAAAAAGATTTTATTTATTTATTTGACAGAGATCACAAGTAGGCAGAGAGGCAGGCACAGAGAGAGGAGGAAGCAGGCTCCCTGCTGAGCAGAGAGCCCGATGTGGGACTTGATCCCAGGATCCTGGGATCATGACCTGAGCCGAAGGCAGAGGCTTAACCCACTGAGCCACCCAGGTGCCCTTTCCCCAGTTATATTCTGAAGGCTCCTTAAAGTGTTATACCGCACACATGAAAAGTGTCCAAATCAGACAACAATTAAAGGATAGTTGCTAGAGACCTAATTAAAGTCACAAAAAGGGGTCGTGCACGCAGCTCTGTTTCTAGACTTCTGCACCTGTTTCAGTCCCCCAGGTAACTGACAAGGGCAGCCCCCTTTCTCTACAAAGCCTTCCCTGACTCCTGCTGCAACCCTCACGCAAAGTTCATTGCCCTTCCTCTGATGATACTTATTGTTCATCCAAACAGAACCTAACCCAGACCGAACCGTCTCTTATCTCCCCCAGGGAGCGAAGTTTTCCCCACTCCTCACTCATGTCAGTTAAAGAGAAACTGACCAGTGCTTACATGGAGTGCGGCCAGCCTGATGTCCAGAGATGCCCTGTGCTCCACACCGGTCACCCGCCGCGTTCCACAGGGTCCCGAGGGCAAGGCGCATCACTACTGCACGTTCCTTTCAAGGAAAAGCCAACTTCTTTTAAGTGGGTGTGCACTTCTCAAAAATGAATTTCCCTTCATTCTCACTGATTTTATTTATTTATTTGTCAGAGAGAGAGAGAGTACACACAAGCAGGCAGAGTGGCAGGCACAGGCAGCAAGAGAAGCAGACTGCCCGTCGAGCAAGGAGCCCGATGCGGGACTCGATCCCAGGACCCCTGGGGATCCTGGGGGGGATCATGACCCAAGCCGAAGGCAGCGGCCTAACCAACTGAGCCACTCAGGCATCCCCATTCTCACTGATTTTAAACAGGGGTAGTGATGCTCTTTGAAGACGAACTTCGTACAAGTGCCCTGGGCTGAGGGCGTGATGACAATACCTCTATCATCATAAAAGAAACCAGTTGTTACATCATTTATGAATGTTTGGGGAGCCATTTTAAAATGATGAGCAATGATAAAAACAAGCATATGGGTCAGGAATGTGCAGAACATAATCCATATCTTAGCTGCGCATGAGAGGGCAGTAGAGACCGAGGGCTAGGACATCAATGAAATCACAAATATCCTTAGGTCTTATCCTGTAGAAGCCACAGTGCAGATGGCTGCTGTATTCCTGGGTCACGTATAGCAGCCTCTTCTGGAAGGTTGCTGTCATCAGGCATGCTAGTACGTAAATGAGAGCTTTCTAAGAGGAAGAGCTGTCTTTCCCTTCTGATGCCCCCAAGAACCCTGAACCCTGGATACAGGAGGCAAAGAGACCAGGAGGCAGATTCAAGAGAGAGCACTCTTCTGAGAAGGTAACAAGCACTATCATGTTCATCTTTCTGCAGAGCCCCCTCTAGTGACACCTCGGCTGAGCCCACTGACCCTTGCTGGCCCCCCAGGCACCAGGAAGCAGGCCTGGCGCAGAAGGAGAGGCGCCTCCACGCCTCTGCTCATGCAGTCCCTTCCTCTGTCATGTCCGGATGGCCTTCCTTCTCTTGTCCACCTGTCCTGTCCTTTGACTCAGTTAAAACATGCTGTACGCTGTAAAGACTTTCCTGACACCTCCCACCCATGCCCAGCAAAATGGAATCACCCTTCCCAGCAGCCCCAGGGCACTTTTCTGAACTCCCTTTACGGAGCTCATGTTATTCAGAGTTTCTTACTCAAGTGTCTGTCTCTCCTGAAAACCTGCTAGCCCCCGAAAGCCGAGACCTTGCTGCATTTGTGTTCATCTCGCGCAGAGGAGTTAAGTCAACACATGTTCGGTTAAGCATGGATGATGGACGGCGAGGTGGATGCAAGGGGGTGAAAACCGCAGCCCAAAGCCGGGAGAGTTCTGAGGTGCAAAAAATATCATCTCTCTCTGTCTATGGACGGGGAGAGGGCAGGGATGGGAAGATGACCACAAGCCACAGCTGCCCTTGAGGGTTTCCCATGTCGGACGATGGTGGTGAACAAAGGTCTATGTGAGTCTTTACCCAGGGAAGCCAACAGCTCATAATTCATCCGCATCACGTCTCTGTACAGCTCCTTCTGCCGCTTGACTAGCATGCCCCACTCCTCCCGGGTGAAATACACCGCCACATCCTCAAACACCACAGGAACCTCCTCAAACAGCCCCTCTTCAGAAGGATCCTGCAACAAAGAGCAGCAGTCACTCAATACGCCTCTTACGCCAGACACTCAGCGGGATACTTTTAGGGTCCTTCTCAAGGCCTATTTCTCTTGGGGGGCTCGCCGAGAGGCCCAGATGTAACTCTGAGGAATTAATGACTCCATCGAACGTCAAAGAAGCAAATTCGTGAGGCCCAGAGTTAGTAGGTAAAACAAATGAGCCTCGGCCTGATGCTAGGGTCTCCGAGAATGACTTCTATGCCCTAGAGCCTTATGACTGCACTCGGCCCCATCCGGTCCCGAGGGGGTGCTTCTCCCCATCCGTGACTACAGCGGTGCGCGTGCGCCTCTAGCACCTGCCGTGACTTCCCGCTGGGAGAGACGGAAGAAGAAGAAATGCAGAACGAAAGACGCTTATATTCAGTGACCCAGCGGACTCACGCCTTGTTCCTAAAGGAATTCAAATCATAAACGGTCAGACCTACTCATCAGGTTCTAATACTGGAAAATAGAAGGAACATGAACATGAAGAGAAATGAGCTTCTTCACTTTTCTAGATTCTGGAAAAATTCAAGCTTCCTAACTTGAGCTGGGCCCTTATGATGTACGAACAACTGAGCTTTTCTCACGGGAATACCGGAGGGGCACTCAGAACCGTTTCTAGTAAAATCCCGCTTGCATGAAATAGTTCAGAAACGGTGAAGGATCTCGTTACACAAACTGCAGTTCACACAGGCTCCTCACAGCCAACTTTGCAAAGAACGAGGAACTTACAAGATACCCGCGAGGTGAGCGCTAGTTTCCTGTCCGGCTGTGCGCATGCGCAGGGTGGGGGCGGTGCCGTCTGTGGCCGCGCCCAGGCTCAGGCGCCGCATGCGCCCTCCGGCTCCGGCCACATCAGCCCCCCTGTCGCTCTGTGACCTCCCAACGAGACCGGTTCGATCGGACTTGCTCCATCGGCCTCAGAGCAGCATCGGAATCATCACATAAAACAGCTTGTGTGAGGGGAACTGCAGTGCTTAACAGCGCTGCATGATTCTTAAGTTAAAGTCGAAAGCATTTTAGAAATTAATTATTTACGAGCTCTGGGGTTTTGTGGTCGTGTATTATTTACTGAGTTCTGTGACTGTTTGGGATTCTGGATAAAGATTATTGTCCTGAACTTAGAGGTTTCCTTTTTATCAGAAGCTGGAATGTTCTGTCCCACTAATTATGTTTTGTTATCTGCAAAAGGAGATGAAAATAATAGGGCTGTGGTCTTAAATAAATGAGATAACATGGGGCACCTGGGTGGCTCGGTTAAGTGCAGACTCTTGGTTTCGGCTCAGGTCCTGATCTCAGACTGGTGAGATCCAGCTCCCCATCGGCCTCCACGCTCAGTGTGGAGTCTGCTTGAGATTCTCTCTCCCTCTCCCTCTGCTTCTCCCCCCCATGCGTACTCTCTCACTCTCTAAAATAAACAATAAAACTTTTAAATAAATGATAACACTAGTAAAGCACCCAAAACCACGCCTAGTGCCTCCTAAGCATGTTAGTGTATGGAACATTATAATGTTCAGAGCAGATATGGCTATTGATTTTCCCGTCATTGTCTTGTGACACCTGTTGCCGCTAGCATGGAATCTTTCCCCTTGAGACACAGCAATCGTTACAAACACATTACCTGGCCACAGGGTTCAGCAGCATCATCGTGCAAAATGTTGACCTTTGAGGAGCTGTGGGCATCAACAGCAATTTCTTTTTGCCTCAACTCAGGAATGCAGTCTAGATACAGTGTAGGAACTGCTCCATTCCCCCTGGGGTCCTCCGGTTCAGCCCCTGTGCTGGGCAGGAGCTGGGCCATGTTATCATAGACTCCCAGAGCCCCCGGAGGGTACAGTATGGGGTACTCTGCCATGAAGAGGTGCTCCGGGCTGGCCAGGACATCTCCACATTCCTCTCGGACACTCTGGAAACGGGCCGCCCAGACGGGGTCCCGTGCTGCCAAGGCATTGACGCAGAACAGGTGAGCTTTGCTCTTGGCGTGATATTTGAGAGTCTCCACCTTGAATGGTCCTGTATAACCTTCTATTAATCTTGACCGTTTGTCCCTGACAGATGGGTATTCTCGGCAAGCAGAGCAAAAGAGAGCCGTCTGCTCCTCATTCATGACCAACCATGGGAACTGCGTAAACCAAGACTTCTGGATAGAGCGGGGTTTCAAGGGTTTTTTGCTTTTTCCTGCACAGTCTATCTCAGTGTTGCCATGCTCAGTGCTGAAGTGGGAAAGACAGGCTTTCTTCTGCGGGGGCAGGTCCCGTCCGGCTTCTCCTGCTGGACTTCGTGAGTCCCTTTCTTCCATGTAGCCCATCTTGTTTTTCCCTTTAGAGAAAAGAGACCAATGGAATTTGCTTGGAAATCCTATAGTTAGGGTCACTGTACCTCACAGGCCTCTCGGTGTAGCGAATACAAGAGCTGGAAATCACGCAAGAGTGGCCCAGGCTCTACTTGGAATTCTCTTCTCTCAGACCCCAGCCCCCCAGGCCCACTGGACCTGACGCAGAAGACAATCAAATGAACTTTAAGCATCTCCCCTCATTCGAAGTTTAAAGGGCAGATAACCTGGCCAAAAAGAGATCCCTGTAGTTCCATCTCGGCAACCTACAACAGCGGCACCGTCTTCAGGAGTTCCAACTTATTTATGGATAAGAACACTGAACTTAATAAAATGTTGGCTAAAGAAGATAATTAAAGCCAAATCCTGGAACTCCATCCTCAGTAGGAATCCCCTTCTCCAGGACACCTACCAGACAGGCATTTGCACTTGGCTCGTGTATCTTTTGTGTAAGGGGATGACCTACCTCCTGAGTAGATGCGCTTGGTCCCAAGTTTGCCTTAAGTTGTGATCCACTTTTTTTTTTTTTTAAAGATTTTATTTATCAGATAGAGATCACAAGTAGGCAGAGAGGCAAGCAGAGAGAGGTGGTGGGAAGCAGGCTCCCTGCTGAGCAGAGAGCCAGATACAGGGCTCAATCCCAGGACACTGGGATCATGACCTGAGCTGAAGGCAGAGGCTTTAACCCACTGAGCCACCCAGGCGCCCCTGTGATCCACTTTTGAGTAACTACCACTCAGGGTCGCTACTTCAGCCCCCTAGAGAGACCCAAGTCCTCTCTCACACCACAGCCCTTCCAACGAGGCAAAAACTCTCATGAACTCACTAAGATTTTTCTTTCAAGCTAAACTAGAAGTTTCCTTATTCACTCCTTAGACGAAACACAGCTTAGGTAGCTTTAAACCCCTCCACAGCCATTTCTTATGCAGCAACTTCTTATGCATCAAGTGCAGATGCCCAGTGGCCAAGGACTCAAGGCTATTCGCTCCAGGCCAACAGACCAGTCTATACAATTGTAGCCAACCCAGGAGCACAAAGTGGCTAATAAAGAGAAAGCAGAGTCAAAATTAAGAACCAAGCATTGGGGACACCTGGGTGGCGCAGTCAGCTAAGCGTCTGCCTTCGGCTCAGGTCATGAGCCCGGGATCCTGGGAGGGAGCCCCACATAAGGCTCCCTGCTTGGCAGAAAGCCTACTTCTCCCTCTCCCTCTGCCTGCTATTCCCCCTGCTTGTGCTCTCCTCCTCTACCCTCTCTGTCAAATAAATAAATAAAATGTTTTGTTTTTTTTTTTTAAAAGCCATGCCTTGGAAAACAAAATCAGTTAGTGTCTCTGAAGTCTCGGGCTCCCTGTGGTCCCCTGAGACAGATCCCAGGGGAGAGCAGATGCCTGTGAGCCAGCTCCTCTAAGAGCTTGTTGGCCTCCCTTCTCTCCTATAGTGGCGGCTGCACTCAACCATCCCATCCAGTGACCAGATGTCATCTGGCCTGTCCGTCAATAGGACAATAGGACAGGCTTCTCAGAGAAAAGCCAAGGTAAATCCCTAAAACTTGGCAGACATCTGTTCATCCATCCAGCGGTTATTTATTGTGTAACTGCTCTGTGCCAGGCATTGGTCTCAGCACTGGGACTATAGGAGTCAACATGACAAAGTCATGCCTAGAGAATTATAAATCAACATATACTCTCAGGAGGAATAAAATGAAGTGAGATGGAGAATTCTGAGAACAATATTGGGGGTGTTGTGCATATTTCCAATAAGGGGGCAGCATTGCTGGGGAAGGACAGCATTCATGTGTAAGTTGGCAGAGAACGGGGAGAAGCCAAGGATGAGCCAAGACAGGGGTCCTGGTGCCTATCTTTCTGCTCCTTCTCCCCAGCTAGCAGCCCTCCTCCCATGCGGATCCACACTCACCTGGGCGCTGGCTCGGTACACTCCTCTGGCCCCTTACACTGCCTCGCCATGGCTCTGGCCTTTGCTCAAACTTACAGAACAGCTCTGGGTTGGCAACAGTTGGTCCTGAGTCGGGAACAGAGAGAAGCCCCTTATGAAGTCTGGGATCCAGGTCGCATCCCAACATGAAGGAAGGATCTACCTGGGACATCCTCTCTGCACCGTGAGATAATTGGTCAAGGACATGGGTGGGAATCTCAATGCTTTAGCATAGTGGTTTGGAAACTCAGAATGAAACTCAAATACCCACGAGGGCCCTAAAAGAATGGGGGTCTGAATGCAATGGAGAGCACAAGCAAGGCTCTGTGCCCCTTTTGAGGCTGAAAAGGTATGAAAACTACCGATTTCATACTGATTTTCACTGAGGCTCATAAACCCAAACGCGGAGAGGGGTCAGACCGATAACATAACTGAGAAAACCAGGCCAGATGAGGAGGCTATGGGGACCTGTGTTGGGGGCGGCTGCTGCTCCCCCACTAGGGGGAGGCCACCATGGGCAACACAGCGTCAGCACTGCCAGACTGTCCCACTTTTCAAGAAAAACCAGAAATCATAATTCCATGTGAAAGCTCCCACTGGTTAAATATTGACAACTTATTAAATATTGTAAAGAGACTGGGCTCCTGGCTGGCTCAGTTGGTAGAGCGTGTGGCTTTTGATCTAGGGGTTGTGAGTTCAAGCCCCATGTTAGGTATAGAGATTACTTAAATAGACTTAAAAAAATTTTTTTTAAGATTTTATTTATTTATTCATGAGAGACAGAGAGAGAGAGGTAGAGGCAGACGGAAAAGCAGGCTCCCCGCTGAGCAGAGAGCCTGATGCAGGGCTCGATCCCAGGACCCTGGAATCATGACCTGAGCCAAAGGCAGACACTTAACCGACTGAGCCTCCCAGGGGCCCCTTCCCAGCCCCCCAAATTTTTAAATATTGTAAAGAAACCAACAAAGTGATAAAAGCCAAAAAAGGCTCATGAGCTACAACTCGGCAACTTCTGGTTTAAAAGAATCAGAAGTTTCCAAACTGGTGTTGGCAGGCATGGGAGAAGACCCAAGCCAGCAGCAATCCCTCGACCCACAGAGAGCTGAGACTGTTGCTCCCACTAGCCTTGGACAGGCACGGCAGGTGGCCATCGAGGCGAACTGAGAAGACAGTACATATGTTGTACCCACAGGCTGAACAACAATCACCTCTGTCCATGGTACCAAGAGTCTATCCACAGAAGCAGAGAAACAACATTCAGAAAACAGAAAAGATGAAAAATCCCTACATGGGCACCAAGTTTGAAGTTGTTTTTATCTCAGTGAGCCTCTGTGACAGGTCTCTGAAGGAAACCAAGGCTTATAAAGTGAGAGGGTTTGGGGGCACCTGGGTGGCTCAGTTGATTAAGCATCTGACTATGTTTCGGCTCAGGTCATGATCTCGGGGTTGTGGGATCAAGCCTGGCATCAGACTCTGTGTTCAGCACGGAGTCAGCTGGAGGTTCTCTCTCTCCCTCTCCTTCTGCGCTCTCTCTAAATAAGTAAATAAATTCTTAAAAAAAAGGAAAAGTGAAAGGGTTTGGTGGAAGGCACACCAGTGTCACATGGTGGAGGCCGGGACTGAGAGCAGATTCCCACAGGCCACGTGACGCTCTTTCTACCACCACTCATGACCTCCAGGGCCCTATGGGTGCCTGAAACAAAATCCACCCTGTGGCTGCACAGACTACAGGTGGGGCTTCCCACCTGGCATGCTGTGATATGGTGAGGTCCAGCCTTGACAGGCCCGACTTCCCCCACTTCTCTTGCCCAATCAAAGGGGAGAAGAGAAAGGGTGGGGCATGAATCCACACGCAGTTAAGCTATATATGGGACTCAGCAGATGAATAATGTAAACAGATCTGAAAAAAATGGTAGGAGTCCAGAAAATTCTCAAGTGTATCATAGTTGGATACAGTCTGGAATGCTGATTTAGACTCAGGTGGTAGGGAAGCGAACAGAAGCCCATACCTAGTGGAGCCACCAGCTTTTCGGAACCACAGATATCCTTCTGTTGCTGACTCAGCAGCATCCACTCCTCCTGAAGCAAGTATACAGTGATGTCATCAAACGTCACAGGAGCCTGGAGGGGAAAATGACACCAACTAAGCACCAACTTCCTGCTTAAATTAGCCTTTCACACCTGAGTTCATGACCACCTGAGGGCACCTGTACTCTGGGAACCTATCAGATTGGGAGAGGGGCATTGTCCATCTCCATGTAAGACCTATACCCCACTACTCTCACCTCCTGGGTCCAAATCAGAGTGGGAATGAGAATCCCTTCTAGGAAGGGCCACACACCGAAAGGGGAGTCATCAAGAGGGCCAACTCCGGAATTCCATTATCTTTTCCCTACATGCTCTTTGCCCGCCCCAGTACCCAGCAGTTCTCAGCCAGGGTCTCAGCAACAACTTATGGCACATTCTTGTGCAAAATCTTGAACCTGGTAAGGAGGATATATCTGATTCCTAGAAAGAGCTGAAAGCCACTCAGGGCTACATCTGTCAATAAAATCAGTGATCAAGACAGGGAAAGGGTTAGAGTGGAGAACTATATCCCATGGGGCTTGTAAAGTGGCTCTGTTCTGCCAAAAAAGAGTATGGGGGTCAGAAAATATTTCGGGGAGTACTGGAGTAAGATGGGAGATTAAACAATTACACTGAATTTTACATCCTCCTTGTGAATTTAAAGGACACCCTTCCCAACAAAACAATCCAAAGTGAAACCCCCACTAGGATGGGAAACAAAACAAGGGGACAAAAGTAATACAATTTTGGAAACTGAAAAAGTAATAACTGAGCAGATCCAAGAAAATCAAATCCTCACCCAGCAGAAGACAAATTGAGAAACCCCCTAATTTATACCAGAAAACACAAAAAAGGCTCAGAATCTACAGCGCCAAGAACGTCCAGTCTAGGAGTAAAGGCAGTAAGTAAGGCTAAGACAACGAGAAGGGGGTGAGGGGATGCTATTCTCCTGCAAATGCCTGTCCATATTCCCCTGCACAGCTCTGCACTGACAAGCCCCCTTCTATGCACTCAGAGCTTTGGTTAGAATTTGGGATTCTGACTATTAGTGTTAGCTAACAGCAGGACCACCAGACATGCGAGGAAAGGATCTCACAGGGCTGAAGAGACCAAAACAGACAGTTGCAGGGGTAAGAGGCTGGTAGGAACTGAGGAAATGAACATGAGGCATGGAGAAGAAAACTTTACAAAAATAAAATTATCATCATAGCCTCAGAGAGGTAAGCCACTGCAGCCATGTAACAAATCATTATAAAAGAAAGAACCAGAAAAGGAAATAGTCAGAACACATTGCTTGTTTATCCTTTTAATTTCATACCACAAACATTTACCACCTAGTGTAATACATAAATTACTAACAAAAAGTAAATTTTGCCAAAGCAAAACAACATCTTGGGAAACAGTATTTTGGGGTAAACAGAAGTCCTTCCAGAGTGACAACTGTGAAAGGGACACATGCATTTCCATCTATGACAAGTTCTAGCATATTTGTTCTAAAACTGCCCTGTAACTTTACAGTCAGATTTCAAGCACATGAAATATCTATTTTAACTTAACAATAGAAGCTTCTTGAGAAAAACCACACAGATAATTCCTACCAGTCACTGTTGAGTTGCATGCTTAAAAAAATAATGAGTACTTTTCTTATAAGTCAATACATGTTCACTGCAGAAAATTTAGACAGTGAGCAGAAAAAATGTTTTAAGACCTCCCACAATCCCCTTTGGTGTGTAACCTACCTATCTTCTGTCTATGAATATTGTCTGAATGAACAGTAAAAACAAAAGTGGTTTGGAAACACAATGATCCAAAATCTTTGGGACACGGCAAAATCAGTCTAAGGAGGAAATTTATAGCAATACAGGGCTACCTAAAGAAACAAGAAAAATCTCAAACAACCTAATGTTACACCTAAAGGAATTAGAAAAAGAAGAACAAACAAGGCCCAAAGAAACAAAATTATTAAGACCAGAGTAGAAATAAATGAAATAGAAACCAAAAAAAAAAAAAAAAAAAAAAAAAGGAATCAATGAAACCAAGAGCTGATTCTTTGAAAAGATAAACAAAACTGATAAACCTTCAGCCAAACTCGAGAAAAAAATAGAGGGGCGCCTGGATGGCTCAGTGGGTTAAAGCCTCTGCCTTTGGCTCAGGTCATGATCCCAGGGTCCTGGGATCGAGCCCCACTTTGAGCCCCACATTGGGCTCTCTGCTCAGCAGGGAGTCTGCTTCCTCCTCCTCTCTCTCTCTGCCTGCCTCTCTGCTTACTTGTGATCTCTGTCAAATAAATAAAATCTTTAAAAAAAGAAAAAAGAAAAAAATAGAGAGGACTCAAATAAATAAAATCAGAAGTGAAAGAGGAGAAGTAACAGTGGATACCACAGAAATAGAAAGGATTATAAGGGGATATTTTCTCTTATGTATTCATTTTATGAAAAATTAAATGTCAACAATTGAACAACCTAGAAGAAATGGATAAATTCCTAGAAACATGCAAGGATCTCCACCTTCACCACTGTTTTTCAACGTAGTAGTGGAAGTCCTAGCTGCAGCAGTCAGACAAGAAAAAGAAATACAAGGCACCCAAATTGGCAAGGAAGAAGCAAAGCTGTCACTATTTGCAGATGACATGATACTACACATAGAAAACCCTAAAGACTCCACCAAAAAGCTATTAGAATAAATGAATTCTGTGAAGTTGCAGGATACAAAATTAATATACATAAATCTGTTGCATTTCTGTACACTAATAACAAAGTAGCAGAGGGAGAAATGATAAAAACTCCATTTAAAATCAAAACAAAAAGAATAAAATATCTGGGAATAGAAAACTATATGACATCGATGAAAAAAATGAAGAAAATGCACACACACACATACACACACAAATGGAAAGACATACAATGCTCATGGATTGAAAGAATATCATTGAAATGTCCATATTACCCAAAGCAATCTACAGATTCAGTGTAATCCGTATAAAGAAACCAACAGCACTTTTCACAGAACTAGAACAAGTAATGCTAAAATGTGTATAGAACCACAAAGACCTTGAATAGCCAAAGCAATCTTGAGAAAAAAGACTAAAGTTGGAGGTAACACAATCCCAGATTTCAAGATATACTACAAAGCTACAGTAACCTAAACAGTATGCTACTGGCACAAAAACAGACACATAGATCAATAGAACAGGATAGACAGCCCAGCAATGAATCTTCTCATATATGGTCAATTAACTTACGACAAAGAAGGCAAGTATATGCAGGGGGTAAAAGACAGACTTTTGAATAAATGGTCCTGGGCAAACTGGACAACTACATGCAAAAGATTGAAATTGGGCCACTTTCTTACATCATACACAAAAAAACTTCAAAATGGATGAAGGACCTCAATGTGAGAACTGAAATCATATAAAACTCCTAAAACAAAGCATAGGCAGTAATTGGGCATCAACCTTAGCAACATATTTACAGACATCTCCTCAGGCAAGGGAATTAAAAGTAAAAATAACTATTGGGACCATACCAAAATAAAAGTGGTGAAGGAAATCATCAGCAAACAAACAAAAAAATTACACACACACACACACACACACACACACACACACACATTTCTCAGGCATAAAAAAGAACAAGATCTTGCCATTTGTGACAACATGGATGGACCTAGAGGGTATTATGCTAAGTGAAATAAGCCAGAGAAAAAAGACAGAGAATATGACTTAGCTTATACGTGGAATCTAAGAAACAAAACAAATTAAAAAACTGAAACAGACTCATAAACACAGAGAACAAACTGATGGTTGCCAGAGGGATGGAGGGATGGAGAGATGGCGGTGGGAGAAATAAGTGAAAGTGATTAAGAGTACAAACTTCCAGTAATACAACAAATAAGACATAGGGATGAACAATACAGAATGGCGAATATAGGCAATAATATGTAATGATGTTGTGTGGTGGGAGATGGTGACATTTGCAATGAGCACTGAATAATGTATAGAGTTTTCCAATCACTATGTTGTACACCTGCCACAAATATAATATTGTATGGCAACTACATTCCAATAATAATATTTTTTAAGAATAGAACTGTTCTGCCAAATGTATATGGTTTTTTTTTTAAAAAGATCTTATTTATTTATTTGACACGGAGAGAGATCACAAGTAGGCAGAGAGGCAGGCAGAGAGAGGTGGGGGAAGCAGGCTCCCCGCTGAGCAGAGAATCCGATGTGGGCCTCAATCCCAGGACCCTGAGATCATGACCTGAGCCGAAGGCAGAGGCTTACCCCACTGAGCCACCCAGGTGCCCCAAATGTATGTGTTTTAAATAACTATTTGCTCTCAGAGAGTCTTCCAAAGCAAAATGTGATTATATTTCCAAAATTCTGCTGAAGATGGGCTCCACTAAACAAGGCAGGAAAGGGGTAAACATACGAAATGGGCTAAGGAGAGCCAGCATGGGGAAGGTGGGGAGAGAACATTTGAGATTATGCTGAAGGCAGATCCCAGGATGATTACTGTACCCCAGGACTAGTGAGCAAGCTGTTCCGACTGGGACAGGTTAAACTTGTGACCAAGGACAAGCAGGACTCCCTATTCCTGCTCATCCCTCCCCCTCTCTTCCTGAGGGAACAGGTGGGCTTATAATGAAAGCCAAGGGACCCATCACTTTAGCTATAGCTTCCACAAGGACAAAGAGTACGTTAGGACTGAATGCTTAGACAATAAAGAAGTGTCTTCCCAACAAGAGTGACTGCCCTAACTCCGGGTTTTAACCAATATTGTGGCAAGAGCCTTCTGATTCCAAGTGACCTCAATGTAAAAGGAAACACAAATCTTGAATAAGAGCAATTTCTTATCTTATATATAAAGCAAAGAGTGTCCCTGACTGTTCTATTTTAGTGGTTCCCACTGTCTATAGGGCACAACTCTGGCTTAGCCCAGCACCAAGTTCCTTCCATCTGAGTCTAACCCACCTTCCCAACTTTAGCCAGACCTGGAATCTCCACCGCAGACAGATTA